GGGGAGTGTCGAAGGCCACCACGGGCCGCCCGTCCTGCTGCAGAACTGGGACAACACCGGGTCACCCTCCGCTCGCGGCAAGGCAAAGAGGAGGCGAACGCGTCGGCGGAGGTGGCAAGCTTGGCTTTGCCTCGAATTTGGCAAAAGTGTTTGATGACCCTCGTGTACACTCAGAGACGCTTTTCCTTGCTTGGCTGCAGTGTGAGAATAAAGGGCAGGGCGGGATTCATCCCTCCTCACACCGCGGAAACAGGAGCCTCAGTATAGGAGTGGAAGCTTTTCCTGCGTCCTTCGGTGTTGCCCTGCCAGCCTGGACCACTCTGCACCACCCGAAACACAACGAACGTGAGGAATGTTCTCTGCTGCGCTGAATTTATAGGAAATTTAATGGGGTTTATGCACATGTTCTTAAAGAATGTTTCTGACCATCCATTCCCCTTCAATAACTGCAATAATTTAGTTGGAGAGAGCCAGTTGTGATAACTTCCAAGTTAAGCACCCCGTAGTATCGTTTCTCTGTCCTGCAACTCCGCACACAGTTGATGTGCACAACGCTGCCTGTTAGAGGGGAAATCCAGTGCGGCACTGACAGCGGTGCAGCAAGGCTGCCAAGGCAGACTCACAATCCGGCAGCAGCGTCTCTCAGAGGCAGCAGGGTATGGAAGTACGGAAGAGTCGCCACTGCAGGCCTCGGGGCAATCCCTGCAGCTGCCAGCTCTGCCCTGGAGGGAGGCCGTTTGCCTTGGGCCCTGCCAGCCCGGGTGCGTGGCCGCCGCTCCCGCGTCCCCTCGCGGGAGGCTTGTCAGAGGCCAGAGCACGGCACCCAGGCCTGGAGGGTGCTGCGCCCTTCACGCACTGTGAAGAGCCGCCCGTCAGCAGTTGGTGTGCTGAAAAACACAAACAGAAGGGTGTTCCAGTAAGATCCACTGCTCGGGGAGCGGTGACCCCGTCTCTGCTTTGCAGAAGGGGGTAAGCAGGGACTGGAAAATGCAGGGGGGGAAGAGCGGGGCTGCACGGGCGGGCTGTGCGCTGCGGAGGTGGAGCCAGGAAATGTAATCCTGCCGGAGGGACTGACCCAAATTCATTCCATTACGCTCCCTTTAACACCATGGGAGACAAAATCTCTCCTTCGTTACCCCGCGGAGCCACCTGCACACTGCTGTGGCTGGAGTTGTCGTTTCTGCCCGCGGCCGAGCAGGAGGTGGCTGGAAGGGATGGAGGTCTGCAGCATCGTCTCCTTCCTTGTGTCTTCCCCCTTGGTTTTCTAAGCTTCCTTAACATGTCATCTAAGTGGCTGATAATAAGACAGATGACATCTGTTTAGGTCACATATTAGATAGGATTAATGCTTCTAAAGACTTACAAGCTAGAGCTTAGTCCTCTGCTATCTGAACACATTGGCCCTTGTACGTGTGGTGGTTGTCGGCTCAAGACCCAGCACTTGCACAGCTTGAGAGAGGTGGAAGCTGGACGTCCGGGTGGCCACGGCACAGGATATGCACCATTCCCTTCGCTGATGCAGACCACGAGCGACCACGCGCTCCGTCTTGCGAAGGAACTCCCAGAGGAAGGAGGGGCTCTGCAGCGGGGGTTTTGCTGGGGGCGGAGGTGCTGCCCCGCAGAAAACGGGTGTACTCATCTGGGCTCGCAGCGGTGAAAAAGGAGCACATCTCGTTCTATACCAGCAGAATTTTTGGCTGCAAGTTTCTTTTTTGAGTGAGAAAAGGAACAAAATTCTCGCTAAGCCACAGGTCACCCACAGAGCTCCCCCTTTACAGACCACAGGGCTCTGTAGAGCTGCCCCCCGTAGCAGGGCAGGGGAGAGCCAAGCCCCCACTCCGGCATCAGCAGAAAGTGGCCTCAGCAGGCTGCCTCCCTCGGCAGGCACCAGCAGCCCAGGGCTCCGTGCACAGGCCTTAGATTCTCCGTATTTGCAGAGGGTCAGCTGGACCTTGTGACCTGCATAAATAACAAAGCTTTGGAAAAAAGCTCAATAGACACGTTGTGTCCTTCATTTCAGATCCATCGTTCTGAATGGAGGGAAAAGAAATCAAACTTACAAATCAAAACTCATTTCACTCTTAAGAGAAAGTCCCCTGAAAGGGAAAGACACAAGTGACTGACGCAGCAAGTTCCATCAGGTTATTTAACTGGTACTGTGGGAGTTGATTACAACCATTTATTTCCAACTCCTAAACCCTCATGCTGCCTCTTTCTCTCTCGCCAATTAACAGTACTACTTAGCACTAATAGACTGCTTTCATTTTCAAGGGGCTTAAGACGACAAATTAATCACCTCAACATGTCGGAAAGGAACAGATGGTAATGAAGGATTAGCATTGCAGTTTCACAGCTGGAAAAGCTCCTCAGGGAGGGGGCTACAGCAGTGTCTGGAGGGCACCCGGCCCTGCTCCCTCTTTGGAGCTCCTGGGGCTTGTCTCTGCTCCAGGATTCTGCTCCATCCCAAACTCACCACATGTTACTTTTCCTAAGCAAAGCCACACAGCTTTTCTTATTCCATCTTTACGGGGAGTAACATCCTTCCAGGAGGCCTCTTACCTCAGCACATCCCCAGACAAGTCGTTACTGCTTTGGATTTAAAAGACTAAAAGTCTATCCAATAATGCCATTAGTCCAGCTCGCCATTATTTCTTACTGGCTATAAGCAGAGAAGTGAGGAGGAGGAAATACATTCCCCTCTCTTTACAGTGGAGGTGCTTTTTTGCCCCTGAAACACCTCTGGCGACAGCTGGGTACAGAGCACTGACTGCGTGTCCCTCCCCGCTTGCTCCTGTCTCAGAGGGCCGTGGGCATGGAGCAGCGTCGCTCCCTGGGGCCTTTTGGCCCCGCTGTGCAACACCCAATCTCTTAAACTACATCTGGGAGGAAGATAAGCTTGCTCTAGGGCAGGGGTTCCTCCAGCAAAACTTGTGAATTAAGGGTGAGATCTGGGCCATCCTTAGCAGAGCCAGCTCGGGATCCGGGCTGTAGCAACTCAGAGGTGTTTTCGGGCAGCAGGAAGCCGGAGGCAAGTGGTCTGCAAAGACTGCGGGCCGACCCGGGGCGAGAGAGCCCACAGCACCCCTGGCATGCGGCTCTCAGCTGTGGAGAGCCCCTCAGCTGCACCCCCCGCCCCGCTCCTGCCCCCTCATTGCCCTGCGAGCGGCAGGAATCACCGGGAAGTTTGCCCTGGAGGCCCCATGTTACTGGTGTCACTGGTCCATCAGTGTGGTCAGGTGGTCCCACCTGATCCCCTGCCGTTAAGCACCATGGCACAAAACAACAACGCAGGAGGCTGAGGTCAGCCCAGACAGGGAACACAGGACAAGCGAAGGTCACATCCGAAGTGTCGCCCGTGGTTTATGCAACAACAAAATAACTGCTACTGAGGATAGAAGCACATAAATAAAGTCACTGGAAATTACTTTTAATATAAAGCAAAACAAAACTGCTTCTGCTTTGTAGAGTACGACAGTGTGACAGACTAATTTGAACAGCTTTTGTTCATGTCTCTAAAACAAGTATTCCATAAGTAATTCACATTACATGAGTCATCTTTGGTAATACTGTACATTTGTGTCAATCGCTTGGTAAACATCAGTTCTGGATATCGAGAGTGTAACTCCTCACAGCTACAAACTAATTTGAGAGTTGCAGGAGCATCCTCCAACCGTAGATCAGCTTTCAAAGGGAAGAGCTCAGACTAGCAAGACCGAAATTACTTCACAGAGTTATGTCTCAAAAGTTACAATTCTTTGTCATGTAGCATTACACTACTTTGTCATTTAGCCTGCCGTTAAAGTGGGCTTGTAGCCAGAATTATTGTAAATGAACAGCAAACTAGCTCCCAAAACAACTGAAGGGAGTAGGATTGAAAGCTAAGAACTCTGATTAAAGTTATTAAATTAAATACTAAATTATTAAATTACAGAAAAGAGTCATTATTTATAAAAGATGGGTCATTTAGAAAAGAAATCTTATTCCTTACAATATGATACAAAACTAAAATAGAAGAATAAAACAGTGCTACGTTAAATACAGTCAAGAGCATTTAGGTGGCATAATGTAGGTACATAGTTATGTTCTCTATTTTATGCCCCAAGCACGGATTTTTCCTTGCTTTGATGTGTATTTGAGGGGCACGGAACTTTTCCCACTTAACCTGAAGTGGATCGTCCACACATACTCCGTTAGCACTTAAGAGTCAGCACTTATTTACAATTTAAAAGCAGGACAGCTGTCCTAGATCCTGCAGCTGTGCTCACTCCACCGCAGTACTGGAACAAGCACAGCAGCTGGGATATCTCAGGGAATGCATCATTGTTCTGAGTGGCCTTTTTTTCCCCATTTTATCAGAAGATCGCTCCTCGTTACTTTTCCTAGCCAGCTGAGCAGGCTCTGTCTGGAATTGTTCTATTTGAATCTCGAGGTGTTTTTGGATGGCTAACCCAAGGACTTCGGGATCCACAGATGCCCCATACACTTCCCATGTCATTCCTTCATCATCCCATCTCACTTCACGTACTGGGGATGTTGAGCCCTCCAGGTCTTGCTCCAGGTTCACTTCTGGGAACACATGTGAGTGACCTTCTGCTGCAGCTGCTGGGCTTGTTGCCACAGATTTGCATTCCATGGTCGGAAGAGTTTGTACCTCAGCGTCTCTATGCTCCAGAGCTGGTTTCAGTCCTTTGGTTAAATCATTCATAGAGGTCATAGTCCACATATCCTTAGTTGTCATTACCATGTCTGCACCTTGCTGGCTACTAAAGGCAACACAGGCAGTCTTTGTTTCTGGAGGAGCTCCCTCCTGCTGAGCACAGTGTTGAGCATGTTCTCCAGGAATGTTACAGCACTTCAGGACTTTCTTGGCATCGAGGCCTGATTCACTTACCGAAGACACCAGCTTAGGATATGTCAGAATGTCTGAAGTAGAAAAGGAATTAAAATAGCCAGGTGCTGCCTGCTCTTTTCCCGACTCACTAACCGAGCAGACCAACTGTGGAACAAGCTGTATGGATGGTATGGGTAAAGAGTGGCAGTAGGCGGGGATGGTGGCATCTACCTTCACACAGGGGCTATGCCTCATATTACAGGGCCCTGCAGAATTGTTATGAACTGACATCACCATGGGGGAGTACGCAGAGTTTGGAAGATTACCGTAAATCAGACCACCATGAATAAGCCCAGTGGTGTGGTTGAACATCGTCCTGTTTGAGAAACCACCTCCAGGCAGGTGGGGTCCTAGAACAGCAGTGTGAAATGTTCCAGGATCTGTGTAAAGAGTAGTGTTACGTGGAATACCACTGCTGTCAAAGCTATTCGTGGGTACTTTTTGCTCTCTAGGTACAACTGGAAGATGAGTCACAAGGTTTTGATAGTGAGATGTATTTTCATTTGTTTCTGATCCATATCTCTGTGTTTGGAAAGACATCCTAGCCACTGGTGGACAATGCGTGGAGCTAGAAGAGCTTAGGCTGGAGTGAGTAGCACTGGTTTCTATGTAAGTGACACAAGTCTGCTGTTTGCAACTGCAAGTTAGGTCTGAGTGGCTTCGCTGAAGTGAAGTTCCTGACTCTTCCATTTTACACATGCTTTGCTGGTGGACAACACAGGCTGAAGGAACATTCTCAGCAGTGCTGCTCTTCACACACATCTTAGTGTCCAATTCCTGGGATGCTGGCGACTGTTCAGCAATAAGAAAACGGTTTGTCGACTTAGTTCTGCTCTGTGAATTGTCACTGCCTGACTGGTTGCTTATGGTCTGGACCACTGATCCAAGTGCCATCAGCCCAGGCTGCGACAAGGACCCTCCAGGACTCGACACACTCCTTGCATCACTCTTGTTTCCCAGCGTGTGGCAGATGGTGCTACTGTGGCTTTTCTTCAGCTCCTGTTTGTTGCTTTGCCTTTCCTCTACACCTGATTGCCCAGTGCAGGCCAGACTTGAGGAGCTCTTTGACAGGGGGTGACTGTTGACATTCAAGAGACCGTGACAAGTAGAACTTAGTGAGTCCTGGTAGGAATGAGTGTGGAGCTGGTGGCTGTCAGCTGACATGGCAAACAAGAGAGATCTGCAAGAAATGGTGGAGAAGAAAAAGAAGCAATTTAAGAAGGAAATGTACACACTGGAAACTACGATCTCTATTGACCTTCTGCCTAGGCTTCTTGCTTCTCACAGTTCATAAATACTTTCTAAAAAGCACTGTAAAAAATGTCTCTGTGTACTCAAACTGGCAAGTTTTAATTTTCAGTTTCCGCAAAGGGTTTTTCACAGGCTGGTGGCATCTACAGATAACAGAAAAGCATCTTTTCTCCCAGAAATGAAATTTCAGATTCCTGGGTTAGAGGCACTGCCGAGTGCAGCTGCAGTCAAAAGCAATCACTTCTTGCCAGGCTGGCTACCAATGTATTTCTGCATGTTTTTCAAAAACCCTCACAAAATCTCACTCAACACTTAGAAGAGAAGCAAGAACCAGGAAAGTGAGTTTTAAACCACTTCAGTCACCTCTTCCAGCATGTTCTCTATCCTGCAGCCCCCTCCACATATGGATGTAGTTTGCCACATAGAGCTGGAAGGAGTCAATAGGATTAAAGGCCAGAGCACAGCTGTCTGCAAGGTGAAGACCTTACAATTAATCTCTTTAAAAGATAACACCTGCAAAGGCTCTCACACACACTGAGATGAAACAGCATTACTAATGGAAATCCTCAGTCACAGATACGGAGTCTCAGGTGGAAAGCGTGAAACGCATCTGTTATGGGTGATATAAGGCTGTGCAGACTTCGAAGAGCTTTCTCACAAAGTGACGAGGTTCAACTATGTATTTATACACAGATACCCAGACCTCTATTTGCTTTATGTAGCATTGCTGCAGAAATCTCTGTGACTGGGGGATGCCAGTTGAGATTGATTCATCACCTGAATGTGAAGAAACACGCACGAATGAAACACTCTAGATATACTGACATCACTGAAAACAACATCCAGTGTGATGTTTGCAATGAAACCTTTAAAGAGAAGTCTGAAGAAATTTATTTTTGCCTCACCCACATCGACTCCAACTGCAGCTGAAATAAAGACCAAACATGGGTCAATGCTACAGATACTCCACACATACAGATACATATAACATCCCAACCAGCAACAGCATTTGAGCATCTTTGCTCAGGCAGACCAGTGTTCCATGCTAGCACAGTAACAACTGCCCTATTGACTTTTGGACCTTAAAAACAATGGGAATAATTACTAGTTAAGTAAAACAGCATTTCACCTTTAGGACATAGCTAAGGATGGGGGGAAAAAAGGTAAAAAAGAAAACAAAGCCCTGTTCAAGCAAGATGAATCAGCTTCCTTTAGAATAATGTGCTTTTCTGTTGTATTGAAACCCAAAGTTATATTTTCTCAGAGAGCCTGAACACTTCCCCATTTCTAGGCCACCTATTGCTTCCCCCCTCCATTTCCTGCTCCTTTTCCCCACTCGGGGAAGACCTCTGAGCTCTGACACAACCAGCACCTTTTGCCCAGCTGGCAGAGGCAGGGCCCTGAGCCCGATGGAGCTCTGCACTGAGGTGATGGCTGGAGAACAAATCAGCGGCCGGCAGACCCGGCCTCTCCTCACCTCTGCTGCAGCCAGGCGTTACCACAGCGTCTCACCGCAGCCTCACGGAGCACGCAGGTGTGTCACAAACATCAGCTAGCTGACCCTGATTTTTCTTTTTTTTTTTAAACTGGCTTAGCTCTCACTAATCAAATCATCAATCCAGCCACACCGATAACTAATGTCAGCACAGAGAAGAAGCAGAAGACCACTCCCCTCTGCAGAAACACTAACCTACTAGGGGCATAAACGTAGAGCAAACCTGCACATGCAGTGTCTTTCTACCTCAGACTTTGGAAATGGCATGCAATTCCATACCCATCTTCCCAAATTGTGCATTTCACACGTGCAGGGCTGGCGCTGATTCCCCAGGGTACACAGAGATTTTTACCTGTACATGTACATCCCTCCAGAGAAGACCCAACCCTGCGTGTACACACACTGGCGGTGCTGCATGTCCCACCCGAGGTCACGCAGGCTCAGCCCTGGTCACTGCTGAGAAGGGGCAGGAAGCAGAGGTGGCTCCATGGTTACACCAACACGTATACCAGGGAGGGGCTGGGGGCAGGTACCAAGAATGGTGGGACAAACTTTTTTTAAAAACAACCAAAAAAAAATGCCCCCAACCCTAAAACACGGAGCCTCTCTAATTTCACAGTCCCGCAATGCCATTGTATTCTGTGAATCAGCTCGTCAGGAGTGGATTACCAACACGAAACATGGACATAAACACAGCTGACAGTGGGTACTCAGGGATCTGAAACAACTTTTTTGTGCACATGGGGCAGAGAAGACTGCTTTTGCTTTTTAAAAAGTAAATACGTAACTTATAGGAAAGTAATTTTATTTAAAAATACCTATTGTAGATTCTGAGTTGCTCTGGGATATTTTCTTTTGGAAGTTCAAAGGAAATCTGCACCTGAATGCACAAACAAGAAAGCATGAACTTTGAGGCAGATACCCTGCTATGAATATATAGAAAATTGTTAGACAAGCAGAGAAAGGATTAGGATAGAAATGGAATTAACATCCACTATTTTTGGCTTAGCTTCAGATAGCTTATGAGGGGATCTAGGCTGCTTTCATTAATTCCACTGAACTACTTTAAAGCAACAAATGTGTATTTTGCTATGACTTATGATTAAAGTTGTGACCTATTTAATGCACTAATAAATTTAGTCTTAGAATATTAAATATCATGCATGTTATCAGTTGAAAGACATTCACTAGTAAATCAGCTATGATTCCAAATTTCTACAGTATTTTTGTATTCCATGCATGTACTTTTAATTACAACTTTGACAACAAACACAAGTGGATATAAAGTGGAATAATTCCTCACAATCGTGTCAATATATAGAGCAAGCTTTCATGTAACGTTGTAATACCACATGATATTTCAGTATGATTGTATTTAGCTCCTGCATTATGTATTTGCTTCCTTCCCTGAATTGGCAGGCTTCAAAAGAGATATACAATAAACAAGACATCCACAAAACAACTAATGGTTTTCATAAGGAGTGTAGTAATGTGGGACATTAACATAAGACAATGTGTTAATAACAAAAGAAATCCAGCCGTGCTTGCCTTTCCTCCAACAAGCAGAGAAAGAAACTCCAAAACGCCATAAAAGTCACACAGCTGCTGGATCCTTTATCCCAGGAAAGGACTTTCTGAGCAGTTTCAAGAAAAAAATCTGCACCACAACTTAGCAAGTTACACAACGCTGACTATGCTCTTTCCTAAGGACTCTGTTACTACAGTAACTAAACATATTGTGATGCAGTATGAATTGCCTGACACATCCAACAATACAAGTTAGTCGCAGAGCTTGGGAAGAGACAAAGAGAACTTCCACTTAAAATTTAATACTACTTACTAGCAAAATACACGCCGTGCCAGAGACTTCTCTAAGTTTTCCACAGTTTATTTTTGCTTTATATAACTGTGATGGTCAAACCACAAAGCAGCAACACTTGTAATAGTGACTGCAGGCTGTTGCACCCTTCACTTTGCTGATGATAAAATAAAAAAAGTGTTGGTTTTTTTTCCCATATATTTCATTTTAGGCTTTCAAAACCAGCATGTGACTGCAGAATGATAAAAATTAGAGCCAGTTTCAGGGGTGAGAGCATTCATATATAAGGGTGGAATCTGGAAGTTAGGTGATTTGATCCAGGTTTTGGATAACTCTTAATTTTGGGTGCTGACCAGGACCCTCCGTGGTGAGCACTAGCCCTTCTAGAGAAGGCACAGCGTTAGGGTGTTGCAGGGTTTCTGCCCAGAATTTGCTCCTTCAGCTGCATTATCTGGCCCCGCTGTGCACCAGCAGTTGGTAACCTGTACAATAATCAGCTCCATAGGACAAATACAGAATTTCTGCAATAGCACCAAACCCCAAGAAAAACACATGTGAGAATAGTGTGATTTAAGTAACTTACAAGTTTTACTTGAATAGAAGGCTGCTCTATGTAGGGTCTTAACACTATTTAATCTTATTACAAACACTATGGGTAGAAATTTGAAAAGGCAAGAGCAGTTTATGGTTAAAATGACAGAACTTTAATGACAATCTAAGGGGCAGCTGTCACTTAGCCATAAATACTACTGACACCTGCCTGGGACACGAGCCAGCACATACAGAAATACCTTCATTTCTGCCTGACCAGACAAGTTACCTTGGTACCAGAAGCAATGCAGCATATTCACGCTGTGTGCTCTTCGGGACTGGGATTTTAAGCAATGTGTCTTCCTTGTTGGCATCTACAGCTGAACTTCTAAGACAGATGTTTACCACGGTAAAATGACATAAAAAGGAACATCACCTAATATGACATTCATTTATTTTAGAGCCATGCTCATTTTAGAGAGGCTCGTACCAGCAATTTTTTTTTTTCTCAAAAAAAGTATGGTCATGTCTAAAAGCTTGTCCCTGCTTGCCCACATTGAGAATTACCAGTAACTTGCACCAGTTAAGATCTGTTTTGCACTTACACAGAGACTGACACACTCGTACTATGGCTTCTCCCTACTGCACTCCCCCGAAAGGAACAGTCCCTTAACAGTAATCACTAACATCTACTGCTGGGTGAGGGGAGTCCAACCACTTGAGAGCCATTGGCAAAACAGGATTAGCCACGGTAAAAAGATTAGAGATTCAAGTGTCTGGGATTAGGGGTTTTTTGGTGTTCTTAATTGTTATTTTATTTTGGTGAGGTATAAAGGAAAGGAAGAAATAGAGAAGTTACAATAGGGGAGAAGGTATCATGAACCCATCAGGGAATTTCAAGGAATTTCTCTAAATTCTGTAAATACAATTGGACCAATGCAACGAGGTTAACATAGAAACAGGTTGAGACCCCAATTACTTAACCTTTAATCCATCATCTTCCTTTAGGCTTTCCATGTTGGAATAGCATTATAAATTAACTATGTCTTGTTCAGTTCAATCTGCTAATGCTCTCTTGCAAATATTTTGGGTCATCTTATATTTCCAGGTGTCAGACAGGATAGACGGATCTGGCCATCTGCAAACGCCATCGGATGCAGAGAGACAAGTGCATACTCTGTATGCAAACGAAGGGGGTTATTTTTCACTTCTGCACCACTAGAAGCACTGCTGACAGTGGTGCATGTCACCAGAACCGTTATTCACTTGGAGGCAGAGGAAGAGGAGTACATTAGACAGGCTAGGAAACACGAGAGCAGAAGAGTTACGACCGTGTGCAGCACAGCAAAAGCATGCATCATGTGTGTTCTACCTACATATAAACTGAACAGTCACAGTTTTTCTTTCGTTGTTAATCACCACTTTGTCTATCAGGCTTTTCTAGAAGACTTTGTCTTTTGCCCATCTGAAGCTGAGCACACTGGATGGGCATCTCTCTGCATTGATGGGCAACAAGATGAAAAGGAAAAAGTCCCCTTGGTACTGAGTAGTAATGAACCTCAGCTATCTCCTCACTGAGGACCCAAGCAGAGACACCTTCCCCCAAAGGCTGACGTTACCACGGGTAGCCTTGCCACTACTGACCTCACCAGGGGATAATAAAATAGTTGTCACATCAGAAAGTGAATAGATTCAAACATTTGCCAATACATTCACCTCAAGGCAGAATGACAAGGCCATTATGTCCACAGTTATCCCAACAGCATACGAAAAGTCATGCAAGAGAATGAGCAGTTGCTTTTAAGAAATAGCAGGGACAGCCCACAGACCTGGTAGGGTCTGAGCCAGGAAAGAGGAGCTGGGAACTCTAAATTCCAAAATTAAAAAGGCTAAAATGAGAGTGCCGTGAGAGAAGAGCCTGACAAGTATGAACCAATATTTTAACGACAACTTTAACTGAATTCCCAGGAAGGAGAATTCACACAGGGCTGTAAATAAACTATTGGGAAATGAGAGGGGTGCACTCTATCACAAGGGAGGCATGTGTTGGGATGTAGTTCTGACAGCACCACATGATGCACTGGGCAACTACGCATCTCTTTGCCACCTTTCTTTACTTAATCATCTGTCCCAGAAGTGACTTTGAAGATATCTTAGGATTTTGATCTTTTTTTAGAAGAAATTTATAACAGTACTCCCACAATCTCCATGTGCACACAGCCCTACCTCAGTGTAGAAGCTGCCCTACAATCACAGAATCCCAGACTGGTTTGGGTTGGAAGGGACCTTAAAGCCCATCCAGTCCCACCTCCCCCTGCCCTGGGCAGGGCCACCTCCCACCAGCCCCGGTTGCCCAAAGCCCCGTCCAACCTGGCCTTGAGCCCTGCCAGGGAGGGGGCAGCCACAGCTTCTCTGGGCAGCCTGTGCCAGGGCCTCACCCCCCTCACAGGGAGGAACTTCTTCCTTATATCTAATCTACATCTCCCCTCTTTCAGTTGAAAACCATTCCCCCTATCCTATCCCTACACCCCCTGATCAAGAGTCCCTCTCCCCTTTCCTGTTGGCCCCTTTTTTTATACACATATACCTGACAGA